TCTCCTTTTGAGGCAACCCCCCCCCGGGGTGGAATATTGCCTCTGCCATTGTGATGCCTGGATGCCCCTCTCCCAGATCGCCTCACCTGTGCAAGGCAGTCAAAATAAAAAGTGCAGAATGAATTGTGCAAGATAAGAGAAATATGCATATTTACTTTATTTGCATAATTTAAACAGGCTTCATAAATCCATGTTTTCTTCCGTACATTGCCATTTGGTGTTTCCTCCATGCATCTAGGCCAATCAGCTATGGCAAGTAGTGCAATGTTCTTAGTAGCTATTTTCCAAACTCCTCTGAATATAACTGCTTTCCCACTGCTTCTTTTAAAGACCAAAGAGTGTCAAATAAAAAAATTTCGTTAAATGTTTAAATGTTTTTATTTCCCAATAAATTCTCTCAATGAAAGCTTTGCATAAAATAACGAATGAAATAGTTGGCAACAAGAATCATTTCAATTATACCTTCCTTGCTACATTGTGCTATTTTCTTATTTGTATTTTGCAAAAGCAGATAAGTGGGAGAAAATAAAGCTTCTCAATTAACATATATACATCATAAAAAGTAGCATTTATGCGCAGTGCTTTCATCAACCAGGCTGCTGTGTCTCAGTTCATCAACAGACTCAGGCCTTTGGTTTTTGCCATTGTTTGGGGTTGGGTGGGGGCTGGCTGGTGGGAGGAAGGAAGGATCGAAGAAGAAAAGAGGCTTATTTGATACCCAGCAGCAACAGAATGATAGAGACCTCTAGGGAAGAGCTTTTGCCATCTAGTTTCCTTGGGATCTGCACAACCTCAGAGCTTAGAGCCAGGCAAGCACATCTGTGGCCCTGTGACAGCAACACTGTTGGGTAAAACTAGGGACAAAACTTTATTGACTGCAGTGGAAAGCAGGGTTGACATGGCAGTATGGCAAATTGGGTCCTCCCTTAGAGAGGGCATGTACTGCGGTGGAAAACCAACACCCTGTGTTGTGGGTGGGTACGATTGGTCAGCCACAACACCCAGTTTGGTAGGTCCCTCGAAGCTGGGTACAATATGGCCAATGGGACGCAGTCCAAACAGTTCGAAGGACCTATTTATGCCCATGCATGTGACCCAGAGCTTCCTCTTTCGGTGCGTGCATTCGGAACACCTGCCCACCTCTCCCTATTTTTAGGGCATTTTGCTATTGACCTTGCTATACCATCGTGTGTTGTCTGTCGTTGGAACAGGGGCACGGCAGGAATTTTCCCCATTTGGCTGATTGGCTGTTGCCATTTGGGTTTCGCCTGCCCTGTAGCAAATCGTCACAACTTGTAAGGTTGCGGATAGTCTCTGGTTCAGGTGATAGGGATGGGAGAACGCTCTCGCCATCCCTATGTGAGGGGTATTCCATTAAAGGAATCCAGGGACTCGATGGTTTGGTCAACCCCTGAGAAGGGGTTGTGCCTGTGCCTGAGTCCAGGGGGACATTTGGATGGTGGGGTTAGCCCATTCCCGGCTTTCCGCTGATCCAGGTGTTCACCCTTGGCTGACCTATGCTGGAACCCTGGGTCAGCACTACCTGCATGACAGGGAGCTAGTCAAACCATAGCCTATGCAACCAGTCACTTTCTGTAATCAATAAACTTGTGGCCTAAATTCTGCCAATAACCAAACCAAAATTTGAGTAAGTGTGAATTTATTTAGGGGGGAGGTTTCTGGGTCTGAACACGCAAAGATCCCATGCCACATTCCACCAACCCTTGTTGATGGAATGGTCCTCCATTAGGTTTGGGAAGTGCCCCAACCCCTTTCATGGGTATCACCCAGTGTTGAGCCCTGGCATGGTCTTATTGCATGACTGGGGTGAGAGATTCCAGCACTGCAGAGTCCCTAACCCAAGCTTAGGGGCTGTCATGGCCACTCCTCTTCCACAGGCCCCTTATGTGGCACCCTTTACTATGCTGATCCTGCTCACTGTCATTTCCGCCCACATACAAAAATCCAGCCGTTGCCTAATGCAAGTAAGCCTTAAAATCCCTGTGGGAAAGGGAGAGGAGCACAACCAAGGGGGCAATTAAGATCAGGAAGAACAATCCATTTCCAGCCCTGTTAACCAGCGAGCCAAATAGCCTAGTGAGGCTCCAACATGAAAGGTGGGCAGGCAAAATTATCTCAGGTGAACAGATTTGTGACATTAAAAGAGGAAATATAGGTTTAATCTTAGGCAAATCTCTGTGCTTATCTACAGTGGGGCTAATATTGGCAGCTAATGCTAGCAACTGGAAGGGATCAAGCTATGGTATATTGTGGAAGTCTTTTTATTTAATTTTCATATAAATTGCATTATTGCTGAACTTCAGCATGACTACTGGGAGAAAGAAAGCATTCATTATTGCTTCACATAGACTACACAGTTATGTTTCCATATTTCTGCCTAAGTAGGCTTCAAATGTTTACATACCATTTCTGTGGATTTTGTAGAAATGAACAGTTGAATATTGACTTGTTGAATTTTCTGCCCTTTAATGTACCTGCTATGTAAGTGAGGATTTCCTCTGAAGACCACTATCCTGATCAATCAAAGTAGTAGTCTTCGGAAGAAATCCTCACGTATAGAAACGGCACGTCAAAGGGCAGGGAACTGAACAAGTCTAAACCTTGCCAGTTCTTGTGTGCATTTCTTTCTACTTCAGACACTTGCAGGCTCATCTACTAACTCTTAACTTAAAAGGCAGAACAATCAATATAAAGTATCCTGCAGATCTGCAAATCAGGGAGGCAAACAAGCTTACCCAATTCACCAAATATTCAACGTCAAAATATGCCTTCCCTTCAATTTGGTGTTGCTTGGGAAGATGAGGGTCTTACCAATTTAACTATGCTTCAAACAGTTCAAAATGTATTGCTTGGAAAAATTCCATGTGTGCTTAGATGCACACCAGTGGCGGTCCTCAGAAAATAAACTGGAATTTTTCACTTGAGATGAGAGCATGGACCTTTATTCTTAATTACCATTTTTAAGAGTTTATCCTTGCAGGGGCGCGGGGGAAGTCTCCAGAGGTTGTGCCTTACAGAATAAATCTGTAGCAGCTTAAATAAGAAGTTTGTGATATCAAGATGATAGCATCAATCTAGTTCATTCTCTAGCTTTCTCTGCTAGTGAAAAACCCTGGAAAAAGCAATGAGTTTAGGGATGCCTCCATCCAGCAGGATTTGATCCTGGCAGTTAACTTTAGCTAAACTTCGTTTTTCAGGGTTATGCTCAGTTATGAGTATTAAATTCATTTCCTGCAAATTGATAGATTCCTTCTCAGGAAAGCAATTTTTGGCTGCAATTCTGTACACACTTACCTGGGAGTATCATTGGATTCAATGGGACTTCTGAGTAGACGTACATAGGATTACCCTGGAGAAGAGTTTTCTTGGAAAGTATCAGTTTAGGCCTAGTGGGGCCTAAAGATTGTAAATTTGAGGTAAATTTGGTGAGGCTCTTCCTCACTTTTTGTCCAGCTATTTATGAAGCTGGTAGAACACAGTACATAGGACATAGCCCAGATTTTGAATATACAGTGGTACCTCGGGTTACATACGCTTCAGGTTACATACGCTTCAGGTTACAGACGCTGCTAACCCAGAAATAGTACCTCGGGTTAAGAACTTTGCTTCAGGATGAGAACAGAAATCTCGCAGCAGTGGCGAAGCGGCAGCGGGAGGCCCCATTAGCCAAAGTGCTACTTCCGGTTAAGAACAGTTTCAGGTTAAGAATGGACCTCCAGAATGAATTAAGTTCTTAACCCGAGGTACCACTGTACTCAGCTACACGGGAACACATTTTACCTGCTAATGTCAATATACAGCATAATGCTTAAAAAATGGGCTTTTTTGTTGTGGTTAAGTGAGTCAGGAATTATCATATGCTAATATAATAGGTTGTTTTGTTAAATTTAGCATTTTTAGTACTTTTTGTTAATTATTTAATGTATAGTTGTTGCTGTTTTTATAAAATGTTTATTCATTTTGAATTGCGTCAAGCTACATTATACTTAGAGCAGACCCACTGAAGTTGAAGTATCCAGGATAGTTATGCCACCTAATTTCAATGGATGTAATCGGAGTAGAATAAGCACAGGATGCAACCCTTTGTCCTCTTCTGTATGACCTGTGCTTTCAACAATAAATTTGATTGATTGTTTCTTTTTCCCTACATTGCAATATTTTCCCTTTATATGTTTATAGCATTGAAACATACCGTAAGAAACCCTCTACCAAAAATAAGGATTATCACTGGGGACCATTAAGACTAATTTTAGCACTACTTAGTGCCCAATAAGCTGCCACAGAGTCAATCAAGCAGCATCTGTTGCTGGCCAGGCACAAACAGAATGCCATGAAACACAGAGACCTGTTGTAAATTAAACTAAAGGCTATAATTTTAAATCTGGTTTATGGTACAGCAATTAATTCTTGGTGGCTCTTTGGCCCACCTGTTATACATAAATGATCTGCATTTAAGACAATGCCTGTGCTTTTATTATGTATTGTACATACTCATGTGTTTCCATGTCATTAAAGAAACTTCTGAGGAAATAAGCTTAGAAGAGAAAACATGAGAGTGTTCCTATAACAGATATCTCAAAGTAAATGGATTAGCTTTTCTTTTCTTTTTTACTTATGCATTTTTAAAATGAGCATCTCATCTTTTTTTACACAGCGCCAGTACACAAAGTGGCTTAGGATAAACCTAAAATATGAAAAGGCATTGTCCCAGTATCAAAGCCCCTCCTCTCAATATTACTATGTGTGTGACTCATAGCTGTCAACATTTCCCATTTTTAAAGGGAAATTCCCTTATTCTGAATAGGATTCCTCGCAAGAAAAGGGAAAAGTTGAGAGCTATGGTGTGACTCCATCCCTTCATCTCCTCCCCACTTTCGCCAACAGTTAATGCAGAGAATTGATGAACACAATTTCTGCCTCTTGTACCTATTATTATTATTTTTTGAAGACCTTAAAACATGTCACAATCCTTTTCTTTTGACTCCCATGCTTGGAACCACTGTGATTTCTGTTGCCTTTGATGAAGATCCTAAGGTACAAAATGAGAAACCTCTGGCTCAAGGGAAGAATTAGGTCTTCCAGGGGTTCTGATTTGATCTTTGGGGACATTTTCACCCACCTGGCCCTGACATCACATGACTTCAGGTGTGGGGCAGATAAAGCTACGGCTGCAAAGGAACAACCCAGAGTTTGGAGGTGCACTGTCAATTGTTTCTTAGCAATCTCAATGCAACACTATTAAATCTGGCACCAAATGTAAAGCCCCATTGTGATTGGTTTCACCAAGATTCTCCCTTTGCAACCCTGGTTTAAAGAAAGACTCCTAGCATCATGTGATAACAGCTGATTGGTAGGTGGGGCCCACCTATCAAAAGTGGCCCATGGGGGGTGGGCCAGTTACCCTACTGGCCTGTATGATCCGAGTCACGGCACCAAATGAAGCACGTGACGGTATAGCAGGTACCCACTTAGTGTGAATCAGGCAGATGCAGCAATGGAGAAAAGAAGGTGAGGTTTTATTGCTGAGCAATAAGGACCCAGTTGGAATCTCTTCCAAAAGGACTGGGACCTCGAATGACAGAAATCCTGAGGTCTTTATACCTGAGCAAATCGCAGCAAATCACAGATCATGAGACAATCATGAGACAGTCACGAATCGCCAGCGAAAATTAGCCAATTAGCGTGCTTCTTGCCAGGCTTACAGCTCCTGGTCAAGCGCAGAGTTCTACTTCTGCTTTCCATTGCCTGCAGTGATGCGCTGTCTAACCTCTCCCCTAGTTATGACAGGACAGGGAGTTTTGGAGTTTTTGTGGTTTAGCTCTTCCTGTTCTGTGGATTAATTTAGCCTGTATTTGAGGGGATTTTGTACCAGTGTCTTTGATTCATGTCTTCCCCTTGTTCAGGGTACACGGATGTTTCTAGGGGAAAGGTCGGTTCTAAGTGCTGTTTCAAGCAGTTTGCAGTTAGCTAAGGCAAAGCTTCCCTTTGATTCAAAATGGATTATAAAAATACTGTAAGCCCTGATTATGTGTGAGCATATATGAATATATTGATATGAATATATTGATTACTGATAACTGATTATATGAATAGCATAAGAGTAGCCCTTCTTTCCTTGCCTCACCATATATATATATATGAGTAATCTATGTACGTAGGGGAAAGCTACATAATGAGCTGGATCCTTTCTCACAGCATTTCACATTGCCAAAAACAAAATATATTGGTGTCACAGTACAGTACAGTTCTTAAAACTGCTTGTCTTTTCAGCAGTAAGGGGCTGTCATATGATTCCCACCCCCTATTTAGTTATTACTAATCACTATGAACCGTGGTGGGACGCGGGTAGCGCTGTGGGTTAAATCACAGAGCCTAGGACTTGCCAATCAGAAGGGTGGCGGTTTGAATCCCCGCCACGTGGTGAGCTCCCATTGTTCGGTCCCTTCTCCTGCCAACCTAGCAGTTTGAAAGCACGTCAAAGTGCAAGTAGATAAATAGGGACCGCTCCGGCGGGAAGATAAACGGCGTTTCCGTGCGCTGCTCTGGTTCGCCAAAAGCGGCCACGCCAGCTCCCTCAGCCAATAAAGCGAGATGAGCAGCGTAACCCCAGAGTCGGCCACGACTGGACCTAATGGTCAGGGGTCCCTTTACCTTTACCTTTACCTTTTATGAACCATGGTATGCTCTTTGTCAAAGTATCAACAGTATTTCTCCATATCTATATAGTGTCTGAAACATCTACAAAGCAATGGCTAAGAGATCAGAACCTTACAAAACTGCTATGGGAAGATTGTTCTTTTGTGAATTCTCTCTCTCTCTCTCTCTAAACTTGAGTTTTATCACCCATTATTAGCCTTTGGCAAAGGCTAGCAAGACAGGGAATTTTATACGTGATATAACATATACACACAGACACACATAATATTAAGATTTTTTTATAGGTTGGTGAAGAGTTTCAGGAACATTGGTTTCTTGCGGATATATGAAAAGCAATAACACTACTGTTTTAAGTGACTATGATCTGATCACAAAAGAACCATTTATTTAATTTATTCCTTCCTTGTTTACTAATAATTAAGATGTGTCTACTGTGGCACTGGCTTTATGAGCCAGTTAAGTGCCAACTAATGGGAGGGAAATGAAATTACTGTCTAATAAGGAAAGTCATGTCCACTATTTTGTACCAAAAACAAGATGCCACTGAGCTTTCAGATATTAGACTTCAAAACATATTTATCTTCCCCCCTGGCATTATAGAATCACTTCAGCAAACCTGCTATACAAAGAACACCAAGAAAACACTTTGATACCATGTGCCCAGTATCCTTGGTAAGAAATAAACACTTGTTTTCAAAAGAATGGAGTTTAGTGAAAAGGTTGCATATTTCCCCCCTAATGGATGCATATATAATATTTAGATCTGCAACTATAATCAATTAATCAAATCAATTTACCGTACATTTCTGTGTATAAGATTAGGTTTTTTCCTTAGAAATCATGCTAAAATGTTGGGGTCGTCTTATACATGGGTGGACGTTTGGTTGGTTGGTGCCGCGGCTATTGTGCGTGTTATTGGTTGCTGCGTCAATGGGTGGTGTTGATTGGCCAACACTGTGGCAATTGGGCGGTCAATTATCAGCTTTTGCCGGTGAGTGGACAGATGGGAGGCAGATTTTGTGTCGCATGCGGGTGAGCGGTTTTTGGCATTCTCCCGCCAAAAAAGCTCAACAACCCTCGGTAATCCCCCCCACAAAGCTCAAGAACTCTGTGCAATCCTCCACAAGAAAGCTCAACAATTTGTGCCATTTTCCCCATTTTCTTAAATTTCAGTCCCCCATGAGGGGACTGAAGAATTTCAGTCTTATACATGAGGGCGTCTTATAGACAGAAAAGTACGGTGAAGTTGTGTAGCTGGATTAAAATTACAAGCTCAATTAATTGGGAGTTGACTCAAAACCAACTGTTTCCTGACTATACTACTCTGTTGCTTTTGGATAGCTGGAAGTCACATCTGTGGTTATTAAGCAGGTTAATGCTCCGTCTTCCATTTTGCCACCCTATTTGCATACGGTTGAAATGTGTGGGATTTCATTGATGTCATGGGGTGGAAGAGTGCAATTTTTTCAAAAGATTTCAGGGAGGCTCAGTTTGGGTGGAAGCTGTGCAAGTTTTCTTTTTTTCTGCTTTGGCATTACCACCGGTTGCAGAGGTAGCAATGTTGGAGCCACTGAGAAATCTGTCCATGCAATACAGTCTTTTTTGCCAGAAAGGCTTGGTTTGAAAGGAAAAATCAGGTTGGAAGTTACTCGTCATCATCTCCTACCTCCAAATGTTCCAGGAACAATCCTACACCCTTCCTTCCTTCCTTCCTTCCTTCCTTCCTTCCTTCCTTCCTGCCTTTTCTGACTTTGTCTTTTCCCTGAGCCAAGTACTGGGGCTTCCTGCAAAGGTGCACGATGAGGTTCCCGATTCTCTCTCTCTCTCTCTCTCTCTCTCTCTCTCTCTCCTCTTTTAGAACTTGTCACCAAGCAGCTACAGATAGACAGGTCTGCAGCATAAAAACAGCACAAGGCCTTCAATGTTGACAGTTACATTCTGACATCAACAGAGGGCACAGAAATCTTTCCCAAAGCATAAACAGACAGACATACGCAGCATTTCTCCTCAACCTGCAAAAGAGCAAGAAGCACAAGAGACCAAGGTTATTTCGTTACTTCAACATCCTTTCTGAAAATCCCTGGGATAGCAGAGCCCGGTTAAAACCATTCCATCTGATTATAAGTTAAGACTTAGCACTGACAAGAGAGATTTTCCTGTCCTCCTCCCCACATGGTGTTTGATCTCCCTTCCCCTCTCACTCCTCCCTCGCATTTTCCTTACACTTAAGAGATATTAGTTTCCCATGGTTCCAGATGCCTTGTCACATCTCACCAAGCATCCCACTTTGTCATGGAGAATCCTGGGAACTGTAGTTTGTTAAGACTGCTGAGAACTGTAGCTCTGTGAGGTCAGCACTTGTAACAAACTACAGCTCCCACAATTCTTTGGTGTAAGACATGCCTTTCAGTGTGTTATAGGAGTGCTTTAAATGTACGGTGCAGATGTGACCACTGGTTCCTCAAGCAAGCACAGAATCCCTCCGAGGTCTCCTGCCTTGGTTCATAAATGCAACATAAAGCGCTTCTTCTGTCCCGTTGGCCTGATCTAAATGGTTTCTCTGGCAATGTTACCAAATTTAAAAGCCACAGGTAATAAGATGTCCATGTGTACTATTTTACAAAGAAATGGTCCTATATTTGAAGGGCAATCCTAGGGCAGCCCTCCTTTTGAAAAGGTCCTGTATTTCAAAGGCTGTATAGCCCACAGATGGAGAGCAGGGACCTTGAAATTGCACCTGGACAGCAGATTTAGCAGGTGACACATGTCACAGAGACACAGGGTCACCATGGTGTGTATTGTGTTTCCATTTAAATTACAGTAATTATTTCAAAATTTGCATCTAAGCACATTTAATGGCATGTGCAGTGTTTATGCAAACTGCAGCGATGCAGTTCCTCTTTTTTGGTATAAGTGGCAACTTTAACAGGTGATTGAATCATGTGTTTCTTGCAATTGCATGTGACTTGGCCCTAAGCCAATGAATAATTGTATTGTATTGCAATCACATCTCGGAACCTTATATTTCCTGGCCTCTTTTTGCGAAGTCAACTATTTTTGAGAATACTAAGGTGGAATCTAGAAACATATAAAAACTGCTCTGAAAATGCTTTTTTAAAAATACATTGAATTTTCCATAATGCTCACCATTGCCATCTAATGTCACATTGCATATTGCACTTAAAGCACACTTTAAACGTTTTATTTGCAGCTGTATAGCTGAGTCCTAAGAGTGGTATTCAATGAAGTCCTCCCGTGTGCAAGAACTTTCATCTGCACAGGAGAGCTTACACTTTCTGTCATCTAAATGCTATGAAATATTTTATGTTGGGGTGGGGGTAGGGTTTCCTCCTACCCTGCGGAGCACATAGGAATAAAGAAGAAAAGTTCTATTGCACAAGTGGAAGTCCTTTTGTGAATGAGTCAATTCTGCTGAATGCAACCTTAAGTTTTAATGTACAAGATCCTTTGCAGCAGAGATGTTCAAGAGCTTCCAGAGAAATGCCACTGATTCTTTCAATTTGTCTCAAAAGAACAGAGCACTTCAAATTTGTCTCAAAGTGTACATTAGGCAGAATCTGGTATCAACTTAAAGGTACTTGAAAGCCCCTTGAGAAATATCCCTGATATTAATGTGATTCTTTTTAACTTCTTCCAGTATCTTTGCCTAGATATTCTTCACTCATGCAGGACCCTTTAAAAAAGTGCATCAAATTTTGCTTTCTGTAAACTACAAGTAAGAACTCAACTTTGTACTAATTGGATTAGTTTTGTCCATGCAGAGATTATTTAAGCCTTCAGTGGGAAACGTTTCATTATGTTTCACATTTCCTGAGCGTTCGGGAACATCACATTGAAAGAACGAGTTTCTCCAATTTATTATTGCATTTTTCTGGAGGCAATTTTCTGCTTGAAATGGCACTGAGTCCACTGGGAAGCAGAAACCATGGACTTTATAAATATGCAACTGGTATCTCTCAGATCAGGCATTTGATGATACTGCTATGACTGTCATATGAAGAAGAAATCTCATGGGGTGGACAGGCTTGGAATTCATTAGAGCAGAGCATGTTTAGCATCCCACCCAAACTAATAAGTCTATAGTTTTTCCAATATGTCACAGACAATATTTATTATTGCTACTTAATATAATGTAAAGGAGGTACAGTGGTGCCCCGCAAGACGAATGCCTCACAAGACGGAAAACCCACTAGACGAAAGGGTTTTCCATTTTTAAGCTGCTTCGCAGGACGAATTTCCCTATGGGCTTGCTTCGCAAGACGAAAATGTCTTGCGAGTCTTGAGATTTTTTTTCGCTCCCCCCCCCTTTTTCTAAGCCGCTAAGCCGCTAATAGCCTTTTAGCAGCTAATCCGCTAAGCCGATAAGCCTTTAATAGCCGCTAAACCGCTAATAGCGCTAATCCGCTAAGCCGCTAATAGGGTTGCTTCGCAAGACGAAAAAACCGCTAGACGAAGACACTTGCGGAACGGATTAATTTCGTCTTGTGAGGCACCACTGTAATTTGAGCTCTCTCTCTCTCTCTCTCCCCCCCCCCCCCATTTATTCCTTTAACTTCTGGTGCAGCTTAGTTGTTTACACATTCTATGAAATGATAATGATGGGGTTTTCTTAGCTGGATCTAATGTTTTTTTCTTTTGCCTGTGGGTCATCGGAAACACATTTCAATGTACCTATTTTTTTGGGGGGGGGGGCGCGTTGCTTGTGTGTCATACACCAAATGCCACAGACTATGCAAAGAGTATACTGGGACTTGTGGCACCATGCACAGTGAATGAAACCAAAGAATCCTGTAACATTCTCATTCAGAGTCATTAGGAATTCAACCTAGAAGAAAGTCATTGGCCAGTCAAAACCTCCACTAACAAGCTCTTAGAGTTGACTCAGCCAAATGAAGAAAATGTTTCATAGCCAAATGAACAAGAAACTCTGCTGAAAATAAAAGCTCATCACATTTCCTCATGTAGTTGAGGTGCTATATTCATTTTAAATCATATTGATCAATAAATAAATAAATATTGTCCACATGTCTTCTGGCTCAATGAGAGGTAGTATATGTTCCACAGTCTACGGCTGAGTACAAACATGTAAAGTGCATATTGGCCCTGCCTATTTGTGGGAAGGGATGCGGGTGGCGCTGTGGGTTAAACCACAGAACCTAGGACTTGCCAATCAGAAGGTCGGCAGTTCGAATCCCTGCGACAGGGTGAGCTCCCGTTGCTCGGTCCCTGCTCCTGCCAACCTAGCAGTTCGAAAGCACGTCAAAGTGCAAGTAGATAAATAGGTACCGCTCCGATGGGAAGGTAAACGGCATTTCCATGCGTTGCTCTGGTTCGCCAGAAGCGGCTTAGTCATGCTGGCCACATGACCCGGAAGCTGTACGCCGGCTCCCTCGGGCCAATAAAGCAGAATGAGCGCCGCAATCCCAGAGTCGGCCACGACTGGACCTAATGGTCAGGGGTCCTTTTACCTTTACTCACACTGGGCTCTAGTCAGCCAAGGGCATGGGATGAACCTATCAGGACTGGCTCTGGAATAAGAGAACTAGGGCACATTGACAAAGAGTTCAGTCCCACCTATAAAAAAGGGAACTCCACGGGAGATAAGAGACACTTGGGGAATATGCATCAAAGGCTAGGGTGATGAAGTGTATCATCAGGACTCACCGAAAAACATCTAATGAAGTTGCCAGATGCACATCTGTGGGAAAAACTTAGCGGCTGCCACAGAGAATGGCAAGAGGGTCTAATGTCCAAGAAGGTGTGTAAAGAAGGCAGTCGTTTAGATATTTGGGGCTTGACTTATTTGAGGCTTTAAACACTGACACGAGCACCTTGAATTGGGCATGGAAATCAACTGGCAACCAATGCAGCTGTTTTAAAAGAGGGGTTACCTGTGATCTAAATGGAACCCAAGCCAAGAATCTGGGGCCAAAGTTTCTGAATCATCTTCAAGCACATTGCAAGAATCCACTCTGGAAGTTACCTTGGAGTGGACCAGAGGGAAAATGTTGCCACCACAAGACCCTGTTCCCAGAAGCCATCTGGCACTGCCCTTTGGCACTGTTGTGGGTCCTAGAGCCACAGCATAGCTGGAGACCAACCAGAGTAGGAAGTCACCATTTACACACACACAAACACACACACACACACACACACACTCAGATTCGATTTTCCCTTCTTGACCTCCAGCATGACATGCACAAAGATGAACCCAGAGTAAGTAGGGCTCAGCATAATATTGTATTGCTCAATGCATTGTAAATCACTCTGTCACTCCACAAAACAGATAAGCTTCATTCATTAATTTCTTAAAGCAAGCTGCTCCTTGTCTCTCCTTTTAACAAAACAGAGTGAACCTCCAAGAGCAGTTTTATGTTAATGAAAACATTGTAATCCTTTTGTCTCCAGTCTCTCTAAAGGTGTTATGACAACGTTCTGCTTAGTGTTATGTAAAAAAAAGAGGACTTACGAGATGAAGACAAGGCAGATGTTCAGTATATTCAATGTAGAATTATTCAATGTAGAATTAAATATTAATACAGTATGGGAGTTTATTCTTTTAATAGGAAGGTCAAACGTTTTAGTTTTGCTAATGCAGGAAAGTAACAAGGGAACCCAAATCCCGGAGGGGAATGATAACAAGGGTGGCGGTGGCAGTGGGTTGGGTAGGGGACATCAGAAATCCTAAATTATACTTAACTGACCGAATAGAAAGCAGGGCAACTTCTCAGCAGATGTAAGCATGCACTTTTAACATAAATTACATAAAGTTTTAAGCATAACCACTCTCCTGTAGTGGAATGCACAGCTTGACTGGAATGTTTGGGCTATGTACTGCTGACCACTTCCTCAAGCACATTTCTTAATACCCTGTGTGCCTAACCTGCCCCAGTTGGGGGAGACGGCAGGACTTGCATATGGAGCTCCGCTGTAAGGAATGTAGAATCCCTTGCTTACATGAAGCCTATATGGCTCTATTTGTGAATGAGAGCGCTGGCGGGAAAAGAATAGGGAAGACCATTTGCTGAATGGCAATTTATGATGGTGTGCATTTAAATGCACTTGCTGAATGGTTCACATCTTGGAGCTATTGCTGCTGTTGTTGTTGTTGTTATTTATTAGATTTATATATCCATGGGCTACCTTCCCATGTTTGTGATCCCATGCCATTGCAGTGT